TAACACAACCTTTGAGGACAGCCCCATGCCATCCGCTACACCCCACTAGAGGATTACCGAGCAGGGAGCGGTAAGAACGCTTCCTGTCAGGCCCCGCTAGAGGATTACCGAGCAGGGAGAGGTAAGAACACTTCCTGTCAGGCCCCGCTAGAGGATTACCGAGCAGGGAGCGGTAAGAACACTTCCTGTCAGGCCCTGCTAGAGGATTACTGAGCAGGGAGAGGTAAGAACACTTCCTGTCAGGCCCCGCTAGAGGATTACCGAGCAGGGAGAGGTAAGAACACTTCCTGTCAGGCCCCGCTAGAGGCTTACCGAGCAGGGAGCGGTAAGAACACTTCCTGTCAGGCCCCGGTAGAGGATTACCGAGCAGGGAGAATTAAGAACACTTCCTGTCAGGCCACGCTAGAGGATTACCAAGCAGGGAGCGGTAAGAACACTCCCTGTCAGGCCCCGCTAGAGGATTACCGAGCAGGGAGAGGTAAGAACATCTCTTTTCCGCTACTTACACCACCAACAGTAAGAAGCCATGTTTTATTTATTTTTTCATTAAATAATTATATATGTAGCACAGAGCTCCACAAAGCTAAAGCTTATAGTTCATGTGGCGCTCTGTGATTTATTGGTCCAACAGTGCCACCTCACTTCTATTCTTCTTATGCTTCCTCTCTCCCTAATCACTAGCAGCCATCCAATCTCCCCATCAATAGCAGCCATCCACCCCTCACCCTAATCACTAGCAGCCATCCTCCTCTTCCCATCACTAGCAGCCACCCCCACTCACCCCTATCACTAGCAGCCATACCCTTCTCCCCATCACTAGCAGCCTCTCCCCATCATTAGCAGCCATCCTCCTCTTCCCATCACTAGCAGCCATCCTTCACTCACCCCTATCACTAGCAGCCATCCCCTTCTCCCCGGCACACGCAGGCATCCCCTTTCCCCCCATCACTAGAAGCCATCCCCTTCTCCCCAATCACTAGCAGTCATCATCCTCCCCCCCATCACTGGCAACCATCCATCCCTCACTCCTATCACTAGCAGCCATCCCCTTTCCCCTATCACTAGCAGCTATCTTCCTCTCCCCTATCACTAGTAGCCATACTCCTCTCCCCATTCACTAGCAGCCCTCACTCACTCACCCCTATCACTAGTAGCCATCCCCTCCTCCCCATCACTAGCAGCCATCACCTTTTGCCCATCACTAGCAGCCATCCCTCACTCACCCCTATCACTAGTAGCCATCCCCTTCTCCCCATCACTAGCAGCCATCCCCTATTCCCCATCACTAGCAGCCATCCCCTTTTCCCCCATCACTAACAGCCATCCCCTTTCCCCCATCACTAGCAGCCATCCCCCTCTCCCCTATCACTAGCAGCCATCCTCCTCTCCCCTATCACTAGCAGCCATCCTCCTCTCCCCTATCATTAGCAACCATCCTACTCTCCCCCATCACTAGCAGCCATCCCTCACTCACCCCTATCATTAGCAGCCATCCCCTTTCCCCATCACAAGCAGCCATTAATCTCACCGTATCACTAACAGCAATCCCCCTCTCTATGTTACTAGCAGCTATCCTCCTCTCTCCCTCCCATAACTAGCAGCCATCCCCTTCTTTCCCGCCCATCACTAGCAACCATCTACTATCTCCCTCCCATCACTAGCAGTCTTCCCTCTCTTCCTCCCATCACTAGCAGCCATCACTCTCCTACTCTCATCAGTAGCAGTATATGTCTGTTTATGTATGTCTCTGTATGCCTTTTGTCGTTTTGTCTGTATTTCTGCGTCTGTTTGTCTCTGTATGACTGTGTGCAAATCTCTGTATGACTGCATCCATTCTGTATGTCTCTGTATAACTGTCTGTATGCCTTGTTCTGTATGTCACTGTATGACCGTCTGCGTGTCTCTGTATGACCGGTTGCTTGTATGTCTGTGTATGACTGTGTGTCTGTGCATGACTAGTGGCTTGTATGACTGTTTGTTTGTGTTCCTTTTATGACTATGTGCCTTTATGGTTGTGTCTTTGTGCATGTATGTATTTGTACCTGTATATATATATATGTCTGTATGGTTTGGGAGGCGAGAAAGAGAGACACAGAAAGTGGCTGATGAGGAAGTTAGAGGAACACAAAGGTTTTGGTAGGACAAAAGAGATATACAAAGAGCCTGGGTGGAAGTAAGTGATACAGTGAAGGGGGGTTGTAAGATACACACAAGGTTGGGTAAATACACTAGACACACAAAGGGGCAAAAGGGGGTAAGACATTCAAGAGAGGGGGCTACGAGATACACAGGTGAAGACGCAGTTCTTTTTTTTTGGGGGGTGGGGGGCGGAAAAATGTGTCTTTGCCTATTTAGCCAAAAATTCTTGCACCAGCCCTGGCTGTGGCCCTTTAACAGCGCAACCTGGCCCCTTGCTTTTCGGCAGCGCTGGGAGGAAGTGACAGTCGAGAGTAACTTCCTCTCATAAAGATTGCTATTGCACGGGAGGGAGGAGGAGGAGGCAGTGCTCTCCCTCCCCCCTGTCCCTTAGAGTTCTCACCCTTCTTGGCTCTTCGTCTCTCCAGCCCCCCCCCCCCATCTTTTCCTTGGTGATCTCCCCTCCCTTCCCTGTTGTGCCTCCTACCTCAGTGTAGCTTGGCCAGGCTCACTGAGTGTCAGGATTACTGTTTGATCCAGCGCGTAGAACTGTACAGCACGGATGACAAATAAGTAACGTATTACCGGTCCTTAGAATGGCCGGATTTAACGTACAAAGAATAGTCAAAAATACTAGCCGAGGTCAGGGAACACAGAAAGGGACACAGCGATGAGGAAAGCCAGGAGTCAGGATACAGAATATAGAGAAGTCAATAAACAAAGCCAAAGTCAAAAACCAGGTAGAAAACTATAAACAGGAACGCGCTCTCAGACAACCACAAGGGAAACCACGACAGGGCACTGAGCAGGCTGAGAACTGGGCCTAAATACCCCTCCTTTAGTTCTGATAGGCTGTAACCGGCCTTTGACCCCAAAGTCAGTTACCAGGTTTCATTTGCATAATTGCTGCTCAGCATTAACCCTTCTGTGGATTAGGTTGCTGCTCGGCACAACTTTTCCTGTGTGGACAGTAAATGTCATTAACCACTTTTCTCTAAGCGGATGAATACGTGACACTGAGAGAGCACTTCCTTTTAGTCCAGCTGGGTACAGGAAACACAAGCTCCTTTATCGCGGTCCGCGCCGTCCAGCCGCGCTACTCAGAGTGACGGGCAGAAGGGACAGCTGTGCACTTCCCTCCTGCCGGAACTCTCGAAACTTGCTCTCCCCCGGGCCGGTGCACTCTAGGCAACTGCCTAAGTTGCCTGTAGGAGGTGCCAGTCCTGCTTGCAGTCTCACTGCTTAATTCTCTGGTATTTAGAAGTAAAAGGGACACTATAGTTACCAAAACAAGTACAGCTTATTGTAGTTGTTCTGGCATCTAATGTAAACACTGCCTTTTCAGAGAAATGGCATGGTTTACATTACTGCCTAGCAACACCTTTAGTAGTAGTCACTCAGATAGCCACTAGAGGTGCTTCCTGTGTTAGTGATGCACAATGTGCACAATAGCAGCACGAATGTTGAGCATCTCCATGCTTCGCACGACGACGCTGAACGTTCTTCATAGAGATGTATTGATTCACTGTATCTCCATGACAAGATGCTGACTGGTGTAGCACGGCATGTGCAACAGCCTCCCACTGCTTTCATATGGGAAAGCATTGGATTGGCTCGGCTCAGCTAGTCAATTCTGATATCAGTCAAGGAGGCACAGCGTGGGCGTAGTAAGCCATTGCAGACCCTTCGCTGCGCTGGAGTAAAAGTTCATTAACTTAATTAAAAAAAGTGACATGCGTTAACACTATAGTGACAGGTATATATATATATATATTTGTTTCTGCAGCTGTAGCCACACCTCCCCTGGCTGTGACACAGAGCCTTCTTGAAGAAATGGATTCATTTTCAATCAGATGTTAACTTGCTTTGGAGGTTTGTAATCTCCTGCTCTGTAAATAAAACTTTAAAGGGACAATATAGTCAAATAAGTAGTCCTTTAGGTGTAAAAGTAATATTACAAATGTGCAATTAAGTTTAAAAAATAAAATATGTAGTTTAAAATCTTGAGACCTTACGGGATAAGGATATTATGTTTAAAAATCCATTCCATTTCTCTTTTACTTAATTTAAGATTGAAGTCCCCTCCCCTCCAGTCAACTTTTTTTATGCCTAGAAAAAAAATGCATAACCTTTGAATTATTATGAAACGGTTTCACCCCTTAAAGGAACACTATAGTCACCTAAATTACTTTAGCTAAATAAAGCAGTTTTAGTGTATAGATCATTCCCCTGCAATTTCACTGCTCAAATCACTGTCATTTAGGAGTTAAATCACTTTGTTTCTGTTTATGCAGCCCTAGCCACACCTCCCCTGGCTATGATTGACAGAGCCTGCATGAAAAAAAAAAAACTGGTTTCACTTTCAAACAGATGTAATTTACCTTAAATAATTGTATCTCAATCTCTAAATTGAACTTTAATCACATACAGGAGGCTCTTGCAGGGTCTAGCAAGCTATTAACATAGCAGGGGATAAGAAAATCTTAATTAAACAGAACTTGCAATAAAGAAAGCCTAAATAGGGCTCTCTTTACAGGAAGTGTTTATGGAAGGCTGTGCAAGTCACATGCAGGGAGGTGTGACTAGGGTTCATAAACAAAGGGATTTAACTCCTAAATGGCAGAGGATTGAGCAGTGAGGCTGCAGGGGCATGTTCTATACACCAAAACTGTTTCATTAAGCTAAAGTTGTTCAGGTGACTATAGTGTCCCTCTAAGGACACAGCTTCAGAAGCTTGTCTTATACCTAAGGATACAAGCCATTTTTGAATTTTTTGATGTTTGTGTTCAACCGCAATTTGCGCATCTCTGTCATTCATTGCACCAACACATATTGTATACCGTTTTTTTAGAGGACAAAAAGGGCTTTAATTTGATGTCACACATACATATTTAAATTCTCATTCATTACAAAAAAAAAAAAAGCGCAAAATAATGGGGGAAAAAAACAAAAACTTTTTTTCACAGTTTTGGCAATAATAGTGTGTGCATAATATGTCCTGCTTAGAAAAGTAATTCAAAATAAATTCATTTATGTGTTGATTTATAGACATAATATGTGTAGGATTTCAGCTTATTTTGAAAGTTATAGGTCACAAAATACAAGGACTAAAATACAATTTCAATGTGAAACAATTTTAGAATTTGGTATGTTTGTCTTGTAGGTTTAGTAGCCATTACAGAAAATTTTTTTGCCACACAAAAGTATATATTTATAAAGTAGACATCACAGGCTATTTACCTAAGGTTATTTTGACACTTTTTACGAAGCCATTTCATCGCCAAGCTCTGCTAAATATTGGAGTAAAATTGTGTTTTTTTTCTCTATTTTGGCATATACACATAAGGTTTTTGCAATGTGTATTTCGTAAAGCTGGTGTGTGCTATCCCTGCACAGAACCCCATATTGTGTTCAGCTACATCTGCGGAGTATAACGATACCCCCATTGTATACCTTTGGCACTATTCTGTGAAGCTACAATGCCATAAGAGACCAGGCTATTTCAGTTTCTACAATTAGAATTTTCTTAGATGGATATGATGGGCCTATGTCTCATTTTAGGGTATTACAGCAATGTGACTGTTCAAATAACCCCACAAAGGGCTTTCATTTGATGAAGCAGACACCGCAGTGCATCTTATATGGCGTATATTACGCCTTAACTTGTCACCATTTTTTCACCAATTTATGTCAATGTTTGTGGTGAGGAAAAAAAAAAATGGCATTTTTTACATATATGTTGCATTTTTGCTGAGTATTTCTTGCATTTGATATGTGCCACTGTCATAAAACCCCCCAAATTATGCTCAGTTACATCTTCTGATTAAAACAATATGCTCAATGTATGACCTAGACATCATTTTGTGAAGTTACAGTGCTGTAAAAGAGACGTGACAAGTTCAAGTTTTTAAGTGTGAATTTTCATGGAGGGATTTGATGGCTCCGTGTTCCATTCTGGAGCACTTCAGCGAGCGACATATTCCAGCTAGTGATGTCCCGAACTGCTCGCCGAACGGTTCGCCGGGGACTCATCATTGAGTAAACTTTGACCCTGTACCTCACAGTCAGCAGACACATTCCAGCCAATCAGCAGCAGACCCTCCCTCCCAGACCCTCCACCTCCTGGACAGCTCACTAAGAATGCAGCTTCACAATGGATGCTGTCCAGGAGGTGGGAGGGTCTGGGAGGGAGGGTCTGCTGCTGATTGGCTGGAATGTGTCTGCTGACTGTGAGGTACAGGGTCAAAGTTTACTCAATGATGAGTCCACGGCGAACCGTTCGGGACATCACTAATTCCAGCTACACCATAAAGGCATTCAGCAGCACCGATCCCTCTCCCTGCACTTCACAATGACCGTGGAAGCACAGGGTTTTCGGGCAGAGTGGGTCTGCCTGAGCTCCCAGGCAGAACCCAGGATCGCAGCCGCTGTCGGGGGAACAGCGCGGATCCGGTAAGTACAAAGGACAGTGGGGAAGTTTTATGCCACCCACCACCCCCAAAAAGGACAGCATAGAATGCCCGCCGTCCTTAAGGAGTTATATATGTATAACAGGTCAGCTCCCACAGAAATGTGTGGAGTTTTGCTGCTTCATACCTGCATTGTCATTAATTTAACAATCAAATTTAATGGAATTAAACCATCTCAGACAGCCAACGATTAAGCAGTACACAATGGAGTGTGTGAGGAGGTCACAGAGCAGCCATTTTTATTTCAGTGTCAGAGATTAAAATATATATGAAACCATTCTGCGCAAACACATGAATTTAATTACCGGTTACCTCTTACCCTTCATTCTGTCTGCACCGCACATTTTACTTAAATCAGAGGATAAATAATAACTGTATCCAATAGGAGCCAATCCATGGGAACGGCTGCACAGAGTGCTTTTATATGGAATCACGAGAAGACCTTAATTTAGTCACTTATACAAATTAATATATATATATAAAAAAAAAAAGCACTGCTTCGGCAACAGCCGCCGTGAATGCTGGGATTTGGACCGATAGTCACTTTATACACCGTGATACTGTCAGTATTAAATGAGTTCATTAATCAGGAATATCTCTTTGTATCGGTCAGATCAGCAATCTCGCGAACTATGCAGACAGCAATGTGAGGAAAGTTGTGCACAAATAATCCTTAACTCAAAATAATGCTGCACGGGAACCCATAGTCCACTCTGGCTCCATTTGGCAAGGTCCTCTACTTAGTCACCACAGCTGAATGGGAGCCTGAAGGAAGAAGCTTGGGAGGATTCATCATCATTTTGGTTAATGGGGGAATTCTCTGCTATGTATTACACTGTGCCCATCTCTGCCAAGTAAACTGTGGCACTATGAGAAATTTTCTTTATCATGTGAACATCTTCTGTACAGGTTCAATAAGAATGCAGAGACTGGCACAGTCTCAGGGCAGAGCCACGCTCCCAGCTTGGGCACAGTCCCAGGGCAGAGCCACACTCCCAGCTTGGGCACAGTCCCAGGGCAGAGCCACACTCCCAGTGCAGAGTTCGATCATGTGTTTAGTCCCAGTAATCGGTCTATGCCAAGTAACAGAGCAAGAGAAGTTGACCGCATGGTCACTAAGAGTGAAGATGCTGGGCTGGTGCTAGGAACTATGCTGAAGTCACAACAGGCTGGCCAGAGATCTTCAGGTCATCGAAAGGGAGAAGAGCCAGAAGCTGTGGAAGAATATTATAAACTGTGAGAAACATATTTTGAACAAACAAGATCCAATTAATGTGAAAAATTAATTACAGGCCGTCCAGTCATCCTCCCTCAATGTACCAGAGTTATCCGAGCACAGACCGGAACCCAACTCATCCTTCCTCAATGTACTAGGGTTATCCGAGCACAGAGCGGGCACCTACTCATCCTCCCTCAATGTACCAGGGTTATCCGAGCACAGAGCGGACCCCCACTCATCCTTCCACAATGTACCAGGGTTATCCGAGCACAGAGCGGACCCCCACTCATCCTTCCTCAATGTACCAGGGTTATCAGAGCACAGAGCAGACCCCCACTCATCCTTCCTCAATGTACCATGGTTATACAAACACAGAGCGGACCCCCACTCATCCTTCCTCAATGTACCAGGGTTATCCGAGCACAGAGCGGACCCCCACTCATCCTTCCTCAATGTACCAGGGTTATCCAAACACAGAGCGGACCCCCACTCATCGTTCCTCAATGTACCAGGGTTATCCAAACACAGAGCGGACCCCCACTCATCCTCCCTCAATGTACCAGGGTTATCCGAGCACAGAGCGGACCCCCACTCATCCTTCCACAATGTACCAGGGTTATCAGAGCACAGAGCGGACCCCCACTCATCCTTCCTCAATGTACCAGGGTTATCAGAGCACAGAGCAGACCCCCACTCATCCTTCCTCAATGTACCATGGTTATACAAACACAGAGCAGACCCCCACTCATCCTTCCTCAATGTACCAGGGTTATCCGAGCACAGAGCGGACCCCCACTCATCCTTCCTCAATGTACCAGGGTTATCCGTGCACAGAGCGGACCCCCACTCATCCTTCCTCAATGTACCAGGGTTATCCGAGCACAGAGCAGACCCCCACTCATCCTTCCTCAATGTACCAGGGTTATCCGTGCACAGAGCGGACCCCCACTCATCCTTCCTCAATGTACCAGGGTTATCCGTGCACAGAGCGGACCCCCACTCATCCTTCCTCAATGTACCAGGGTTATCAGAGCACAGAGCGGACCCCCACTCATCCTTCCTCAATGTACCAGGGTTATCAGAGCACAGAGCAGACCCCCACTCATCCTTCCTCAATGTACCATGGTTATACAAACACAGAGCGGACCCCCACTCATCCTTCCTCAATGTACCAGGGTTATCCGAGCACAGAGCGGACCCCCACTCATCCTTCCTCAATGTACCAGGGTTATCCAAACACAGAGCGGACCCCCACTCATCGTTCCTCAATGTACCAGGGTTATCCAAACACAGAGCGGACCCCCACTCATCCTCCCTCAATGTACCAGGGTTATCCGAGCACAGAGCGGACCCCCACTCATCCTTCCACAATGTACCAGGGTTATCAGAGCACAGAGCGGACCCCCACTCATCCTTCCTCAATGTACCAGGGTTATCAGAGCACAGAGCAGACCCCCACTCATCCTTCCTCAATGTACCATGGTTATACAAACACAGAGCAGACCCCCACTCATCCTTCCTCAATGTACCAGGGTTATCCGAGCACAGAGCGGACCCCCACTCATCCTTCCTCAATGTACCAGGGTTATCCGTGCACAGAGCGGACCCCCTCTCATCCTTCCTCAATGCCACCAGGGGTTATCCGAGCGCAAGAACAGACCCCCACTCATCGGCCCTTCCTCCAATGTACCAGGGGTTATCCGTTGCTGGGCGGACCCCACTCATGCTTCCTCAATGTACCAGGGTTATCCGTTGCACTGGGCCGGACCCCCATCATCCTATCAGACGCAGGCCGGACCCCACTCATCCTTCCTCAATGTACCAGGGTTATCAGAGCACAGAGCGGACCCCCACTCATCCTTCCTCAATGTACCAGGGTTATCCAAACACAGAGCGGACCCCCACTCATCGTTCCTCAATGTACCAGGGTTATCCAAACACAGAGCGGACCCCCACTCATCCTCCCTCAATGTACCAGGGTTATCCGAGCACAGAGCGGACCCCCACTCATCCTTCCACAATGTACCAGGGTTATCAGAGCACAGAGCGGACCCCCACTCATCCTTCCTCAATGTACCAGGGTTATCAGAGCACAGAGCAGACCCCCACTCATCCTTCCTCAATGTACCATGGTTATACAAACACAGAGCAGACCCCCACTCATCCTTCCTCAATGTACCAGGGTTATCCGAGCACAGAGCGGACCCCCACTCATCCTTCCTCAATGTACCAGGGTTATCCGTGCACAGAGCGGACCCCCTCTCATCCTTCCTCAATGTACCAGGGTTATCCGAGCACAGAGCAGACCCCCACTCATCCTTCCTCAATGTACCAGGGTTATCCGTGCACAGAGCGGACCCCCACTCATCCTTCCTCAATGTACCAGGGTTATCCGTGCACAGAGCGGACCCCCACTCATCCTTCCTCAATGTACCAGGGTTATCAGAGCACAGAGCGGACCCCCACTCATCCTTCCTCAATGTACCAGGGTTATCAGAGCACAGAGCAGACCCCCACTCATCCTTCCTCAATGTACCATGGTTATACAAACACAGAGCGGACCCCCACTCATCCTTCCTCAATGTACCAGGGTTATCCGAGCACAGAGCGGACCCCCACTCATCCTTCCTCAATGTACCAGGGTTATCCAAACACAGAGCGGACCCCCACTCATCGTTCCTCAATGTACCAGGGTTATCCAAACACAGAGCGGACCCCCACTCATCCTCCCTCAATGTACCAGGGTTATCCGAGCACAGAGCGGACCCCCACTCATCCTTCCACAATGTACCAGGGTTATCAGAGCACAGAGCGGACCCCCACTCATCCTTCCTCAATGTACCAGGGTTATCAGAGCACAGAGCAGACCCCCACTCATCCTTCCTCAATGTACCATGGTTATACAAACACAGAGCAGACCCCCACTCATCCTTCCTCAATGTACCATGGTTATCCGAGCACAGAGCGGACCCCCACTCATCCTTCCTCAATGTACCAGGGTTATCCGTGCACAGAGCGGACCCCCTCTCATCCTTCCTCAATGTACCAGGGTTATCCGAGCACAGAGCAGACCCCCACTCATCCTTCCTCAATGTACCAGGGTTATCCGTGCACAGAGCGGACCCCCACTCATCCTTCCTCAATGTACCAGGGTTATCCGTGCACAGAGCGGACCCCCACTCATCCTTCCTCAATGTACCAGGGTTATCAGAGCACAGAGCAGACCCCCACTCATCCTTCCTCAATGTACCATGGTTATACAAACACAGAGCGGACCCCCACTCATCCTTCCCTCAATCGCTACCGGGGTTATCCAGGAGCACAAATGGGACCCCTCATCCTTCCTCAATGTACCAGGGTTATCCAAACACAGAGCGGACCCCCACTCATCCTTCCTCAATGTAGCAGGGTTATC